CGGATGTTTTGTTCAATATTTTTTAATGACTTACAAACATTGTTTAAATGAAGGATTGAATAGAGGGTAGTAATTAATATTGAAATATATTTTATTACGTAACTAAATAAACAACATATATTTTTAAAAATATCATATTTAAGTTTTATATATTTGTATCAAAAAAATTTGAAATGAGTCAAATAGGCTCAGTTCGTAAATCTAGTGTTAACATATTATATATATATATATTATATTACCAAGAGGTATTAAGCTTTGCTCCTGCTCTTTTTCTTTTAATTTGTTTTGATATTCCTGACTTCTTAGGAATTTGGAAACTGTCACTAGACTTATTCCAACTATTGCTCCCATGTCTGCTTGAGTAATATTCGGGTCTTTAAGTCTCAAACGCACTAATTCTCCAATTAACCGTTCTTTATTTAGTCATTTAAAAATAGGTCTGTTTAAGTTGTAATCACCGCTTCTGAATAACAAAAAGTTTCTTTCACATGTCCTTTTCGATATAATATCCTCGCCATAAGCGTGTACGAGCATTTCGTGAGCCTCAGAAGCGTAAGCATTACTATTAAAGTAATAAATTAAAACCTCCCGCAAATGACGCATTGTTGGCTTATAAACTGACATTTCTAATTTGAAATAACTATTCGATGTAACCACAAGTCAACAACTGATACTACCAAGTTCTCTTCACAAAATGTGAAAGAGTATTCCAAGCTGTCTTATATGTATGTATTCGACGACTACTTGTCGTTAATGCCATCTACAGAAATCTATATATGTATATATATGGGGCATTTGTCGTCAAATTGACCACTTTTGGCTCCGATGCCTTTCGATTTGGAGGAAAGTTTTTTATCTTATTATACCCTATGAAAAACAATTTTCAGAATATTTTAAATCTTTGTACCAAACCCAAAAAAATTATTAATTTTTTAAAAGAATGGTTCTTTTATTTGAAATGGCTATAACTTTTTCAATGTTTAACCTTTTGGGACGTATTTATTTTTCATATTTTTGCTTTTATATGGACATCTGAGAAAAAAAAACTGTAAAACTAGAATATCCATAAAATTTTCGCATTTTTTGAATAAAACAGTTATATTCTCGAAGTTCGCCATTTTGCATTTTCTTTTTTATTCTCTAAAAAAAACTTTGACTAATTCTGCGATTATCCTTACCAGTCCCAGAGCACGCCGAGTCAGTTATTTACATTTTTTATTTGATCGCAAAACAAGTTTTTAATTTTTAAAATTTAAAATGTTTTTTTGTTTAACAAAACTTTGTTTTTTGAGCCTATAAATTAAGTATATAATATTATAAAATTTTATAATTGCATTAATTTAAGGGATTATACGCGGTTAGAATTTTCAAAAAATTGATTTCTTTTTGCATTTTCGGAATGTACATATATTTAGGTATATTTTTTTAAAATTTAAAGCTAACCCGATAAATATTTTCGAAGATATACCTGAATTTGTAAGACTTCGTCAGAGTGTTAAAAAGCAGGTAGAGTAAGAACTGGAGTAGAAGCTGCACTCATGATTCCGCAAGCTAGTAAAAAAAAATACAGAATCACTTAAAAAATGCGAAAAAAATGCAAAAAAAGTACTTTCAGGGAAAGGTAAAGCTAATAGATAAGCTGACAGTTTACTATGGTTTGGCAATAAGAAGAAATTGTGATTCTGTGGATAATATGTATAATGTAATTTCGAGAACATATTATCACTGTTGTTCGACTTATCAGATGCCCCAACACGAAATGTACCCAGGTGGAGAAGGTTCATTGTGTAGTTGGTAGCAAGTGCTAGCAAAAAACACTTTATCTTCTTACACCTATGATTATCCAACTTTACCAACTGATGTTGCTGAAGATATATATCCAATTTATGAAGATCATAGCAACGTAAAATTATTGAAAAATTGTGTTGGTGGACTTAAACAAGACAATAATGAGAGTTATAATCAGGTAATAAGGAAAACAACTCCATAAATTTTTCCATGTGGCTCTAAAGTTGTTGGAATAGCGGCTTACATTTCAATTGAAATGTTTAATGAAGGTAAAAAATAATTATTGCACTTTATGAGTGCATTAGGACTTTCATTAGGCACCGCAGCTCCTGCTCATGTCGACAGAGAGGACGCAGAGCGTGTGATGATCCCTGACGCGAGAACGCATGGGAGCTCCGAAAGAAGGATAAATTGCTCGACGACAACACCAGCTGGAATTATTAGAAGCTACTGATACGCAAAAGGTCCCGATTATTGCTATGGAATAGATGATACCATGTAAAGTAAAGAAAAAAGAATTTAACTATGTGTAAAATACTTCTGAAACTATAAACGCGTTTTTCTCAAAACGTTGTTTTAAAAGTTGGTGATCTCGATTTCTCAGAAATAGCTTAAGCGGTCTGTCTCAAATTTTAAGACAATCTTCTAAGATTTATTCCTCAGGTATTAAACCAAAAAAAAAATTAAAAAATCTAATACTATTTATATTTAACAATTTAGAGCGAAAATTTGAGTGAAAAACGAAATATTTATTCAAATAGCCACAATTATGTCAAAAATCAAATTATTTATTATAACTTTCTTTCGATACCTGCATTGATCTATTGTTTAAAAGAATCCACAACAGTTTTAGATTTCAGATAATCCAAACCGCTGAGACGGAGACCTACGCCAAGCACCTTTTTTGGAGGTCGTTCGAGAGATCATCTACAGGAGCGGTGCACATTATTATTTTTACATGATCGACACGCTATTGTATTTTCAAAAGAAGCCTTCATTGGAACTATCATAACTTGTAATTGATAAATAAAAACTGTTTCTATAAAAAATTCATAAAAAGACGTCTTTTCTGAGCCTCGCAACTAGGCATAACACCTTAAAAGATATTGCTTGGTTCCCCAGACTGAAACGAATCATTTTTTTTATAACACATTGGAAAGAGGCTACACTAAAAATATAATGAAAAAAAAATATTTTTATGTTTGTTGTAACAAAATATAAGTGTTGAAATCATTTATATTGAAAATTGTCTTTGAGTAATGTGCAGATTGATTAGGTTAAAAAAAAAGATCTTTAAAATAAAAAAAGTTACGATTACCATAAATTATATTTTAGCTATTTATAAAGTAAAGTTACATAATCGAATAATCAATAAATTTGGAGAATATTTTTACAATTAATAAAATAATCTTAGAATAGATATGAAAATTTTATGTTTGTCCAAAGATTATAAGATAAGCACATCTTTATTTGTTGTACATTTAAATTTGCACTGACATTTTCAGAAACCCTGTAAAGTATCAAGAAATTATTTTAATATTAGTTGACGTAAATATATTTCTACAGTAGGTAAATCTTATTTAATTATACTTCAACGATGCGGAAACGGTTAATGTGCTCATTAGATAGGTAAACTACGGAAAACTCTTGATTCCACACATAAAAGAAATAAATCAAATATTCTTTTAAATTTTCTCCTAACGTCAGCTACACATATATCTCAAAAAATAATAATCAAAAAAGGTGAAAAGGGTGCAGGGTCATACAATCCAGTTTATCCAGTGATGCCCAAGGTAGCATCGGTCGATTCCTTTTATCAGCGGGAAAACATTGCATCGTCTAAGATTTCGGTAAGTGTTACAGCAACATTTCTGTGCTTTAGTCAATGTAGTATTTGTACATCTACAAAAAGCTCCATTATTATTTGCTGTATATTAGTTGTTCTGCTAATTTTCAAAACGGATTAGGTATTAATCACGTAATGTGTTTATTATCCTGTCCCATTGTACAAAACAGAAATAGTCCTTTACGCTGTACAGTCAAATCTACATTTAACATAGAAAAAGAAAAAAAAATAAGAGAAATATTTATATACACAAGGAGTAACAGAATTATTCTGTATATCATTACTGATAAAGTTTATAAACAATAATCGATACCCAATGTTTTCAAATTCAAATTCATTTCAAATTTATATCATTTTAATAAACGGAAAATCTATTTTAAATTTATTTATTCTTT